TGGTATGTTGCAACATAGATATAAAAGTATATGCTTTTATATAAATGGAACTATACATGCAGCTTTATAACCATTTTTAGCAGTATGTTGTAGAGATCTTTTTGTCATGAGACTTAGATAACATATTATCTTTTCTGAAGCTCTGTTTATATAACCAGTACTCTGATATTAGATATGTAGGGTTATTTTATTATTATCAAAAATGCTGCAATGAATATCTTTATAAATGTCTCATATCCTTTTGCTTGAGTCCTATTTTCTCTGTAGCATAAATTCTCAGTAGTGTAATTGCTAAGTCAAAGGGTATACATATTTTACATTTTGCTATGTATTACCACACTGAATCCAAAAAGATTTTATCTGTTACCAACAAATTGGTATTTTTATGTTGTTTATGTTTCCTGCATTATTAATAAAACTGAACCCTCCAAGTGTTTATTAGCCATTTATAAATTATTTTTTTATATATTGCACATGCATGTCTTTTGTACATTTGGGGGGAAAATATATATAAAAGGCCACCACCCATCTGCCATTTTGTTGTACTCTGGTGGCTTGCACGTTGCCCTGGTGCCTGAAGTTATGCCACCAGTATTTCAAATATCAGCAGGGCCATCCATAGTGGACAGCTTACAGACTAAGACAAACTAGGAAGAAAGGCCTGGCAATCTGCTTCTAAAACTTAGCCAGTGAAAACCCTGTGGATCACAACAGAACTTAGTTCAATATAGTTCTGGAAGAAGAAGATGAGCCCACTAGGTTGGAAGGCACTCAAAATGCATAGTGGCTGCAATAGTGGACTCAAGCATACCAATAATTGTGAAGATGGTGCAGTTTTGTTCTGTTGTACATGGGGTCGCCATGAGTTGGAACACACCTGATGGCAACTAGCAACAACTAATATATAAAAGGAATATTTTTAGAGGAGTACTGTAGTTTCTTACAGCTGTAATTTGACTTTTGTAAATTGACTTACAAATATATAAGTATGTTATAAAGATGTTGGTAAACCTTGAGTGTGTTATTAGGCATAAGAGGACTCTGAGCTAAGAGGCTTGTACTATGAGCCTGTCAGGAAGACTCTTAAATGGCTGCAGACTCAGAAAATACCACTGCTGCTACTACTACCACTCCTTCTGCTGCGCCCACCACCACCGCTATTCGAAGCCATCGCCTGACAGTTCATTATGATCTGTTTGACATAGAAGAACTATTCACGTACAGTGAAATATTCTCAAATTAAAACTTTAAGAATACACTTAGCAATGAAAAAACTCACTTGCCTCTTAGAGGACTGTTGTGAGGGTCAGGGAAAGTGCTCATAGTACTCATCACAGTGCCTGCACACATGAACATTTAATACATGGAGGCTGTTACTGTTAATTTCAGTTGAATTAAGCAGTGAGTTAGGATTTCAGCCACTAAATCATTTGATAAGTTAGAATGGAGCCTTTCACATTTTTGACTTAATAAGTTCTTTAAAAACTTAGCATTTCATACAAGTAGATAACTAATAAGTGCATGTATGGAAAGGTATTCTGGGAATGCTGGGTAGATGATGCATACTTTATAGTAAAAATATTATTTTCCCTATAAATTGAAATTTGTTTCAAACTTTTATTTTGAACCAATGGCTTTAATTATCAAATATCTACTGTCACAAATACTTTCTCTTGTTTTTATCAGATATTCTTTCATTTCTAATGTTTTTATCCACTTTAATATTTGATATAATCTTCTGGTTTAATGTGGGGTACTTGTCTCCTTTTTAAAAAAAATAATTTTAGTGTCTTTGTCATTAAAATATGAAAAATCTTTGTAATTACCCTGATTAAATTTTAATATTCATTGTAGTTCTTTTAATATTTCAAATTATCCCCCAAATGGGCTCTTCAGTGAATATTAGCTTAAGTTGTTTTCTTTGTGTATACCTGCTGCCATCAGGTAGATTCCGACTCATAGCGACCCTGTAGGACAGAATAGAACTGCCCCGTGGGGTTTCCAAGTAATCTTTGCTGAAGCAGACTGCCACATCTTTCTCCCATGGAGTGACTGGTGGGTTCGAACCACTGACCTTTTGGTTAACAGCTGAGCACTTAACCATTGCACCATCAGGGCTCCTAACACTGTATACTAGGGTAGAGACAGGGACTGCACTGAAAGTTTTCTCTCCTATACAGAGTGGATGTACTGAAGTGTTGTAATCCAGGGTTTTGGGAAATAAGGAATGGGGTGCTTCAATTAAGGTTGGTATTAATGTAATATATAGTTGGTATTTGGCTAGGGTATCGGAATATTTTGAGGTCCCTGAGGGAACTGTATGTACAGAGGAACCAGAAACAAGGCAAAGTATTTTTGTTAGCCTATGTTTTGGCTCCAAACTTCAGTATGGGTTCTAGTAAGATTGGCTGGACCATGTGGATAGCTGCTCTCCCCTGGTTTAGTTAGGCCTAAGTGCTGTGAAATCAGAGAAGACCACAGGCCTGCAGTGTCTGCCACCTTCTGTCCAATTTGTTGCTTCCTCCTGTGTTTAAAGCCAGGACTGTAGACTTCACAGGCGGTGTGATGCAGAGTTGTCACTGCCAGAGCCAGAGTGAGGAGGAGAGCCAGAGAAGTTGTGTTTGCTCACAGTGTCTCAAGTGGGATCCCTCAAAGCCAACTTGCCCAGGCTTTCTCAGGCTCTGGTAGTGACCCAGGGCCCAGCTCCCTGTGTGAAAGAAAGAGAGATAATCGGAGGTGATCACAGGAAGGGGGTGGAGATGGAGTCAGAGGAAGCCTTAGATGGTCCCTTAAGTCACCACACTGGTGGGTAAAGGGAAAGGATGAGAGAGAGAGAAGGCAGGCAGGTGGGGATTGTCCTGTGACCTCCTTGGCCTTCAGGGTCACACTAGACACTGCTCACTGACTCAGGGTCCTTGAATTTGGCCAGTGCAGACCAGCACTCCTCTGCTTTTGAGTGAGAGGGAAGGAGACAAAACACGGTCTTTCCCTTAGTGGAAGACACAAAGATTTGAAGATTCTGTCCAGGTCAGTAAAACTGTAGAAGAAAGGGACTGAGTAATTTGTCCAACAATGCCTTGTACTGACTTCTAAATCAGCATGCAGAATTGGTTTTGCTGTTTCATTCCTATTATTTACCCATCTTTTGCCTGAAAAACAATACTATTTACTTTACATGTGTTTTATTTTTGTTGTTGTTACTTGTTTGGAATCATAATATGGTGCAGTATGATTCATCTAACTTCATTAGCCTCCAAACAGCCATGAGTAGAATGCTAGACAATAGAATCCTTATCAGGATAGTTTATGTAAACTCAGCTGCATCATTTAGAATAGTATTAAGAGGGAAAAAGACCTTCAGTACAAACTATAAGAGTGCTGTGCTTTCTAGGATATTTTAAACTTTTCTCTAAAATTATATTTCTGTTTCACTACTTGGTACATTCCTTAAATGTTTGTTATTCACAAACCAAAACCAAACCTGTGGGTTTCCAAGGAGCATCTGGTGGATTTGAACTGCTGACCTTTTGGTTAGCCGCCGAGCTTTTAACTACTGTGCCACAGTGAAGTACTTGAATCTAGTTCAAAACCAAATGGGACTAATGAGGCACGGCAGTCCAGGGACAAGGGCCAGAAGGCAGAAGGGGACAGGAAAGCTGGTGATAGGGAACCCACAGTTGAGTAAGGATAGTGTTGATGTGTTGTGAGGTTGTTAACCATCGTCATAGGGCAATACGTGTACTGTTAAATGAGGAACTATTTTGTTCTGGAAGCCTTCATCTAAAGTGAGAATCGCAGCACAATTGGAAGAGCGTACTTGATGTCACTGAGCTGTGCATGTAGAAATTTTTGAAATGGTGTATCTTTGGCTATGTGTATTTTCACCAAAAAGTTGAAAAGTTAGAGGGTTGACATGTTGTGGGGTTGTTAACCAATGTCATAAAACACTGTGTGTACTACTGTTTCATGAGAAACTATTCGTTCTGTAAGCCTTCACCTGAAGTACAATTAAAAAAAAAGAAAAGAAAAAGAAAAAGCCTCTCTCTCACCCCTGTCCCCTATCCACCCATTTCTTACTGATTCTTGAGGTTGTCTTAAACCACCAAATGCCCTATTGCATTAAGGTGTCACTTTTCAGTGACTGTATAGGAGTGATATCGTCCACAAGACAGTGCTGATGGACAGAGAACGGACAGGGAAGTCCACACTTTTGTGCTGGAGCTAAGAAACACCACAGCTATAGCCCTAGCCACACCCTTACAGAAGAAGAGAGAACCTCTTTCCATTCATAAAGCGAATAGCCAGTTTTCACTCTACGTCTGCATCTGCATTAAGTGGATTTTCAGGATGTTGGGGTGCAGCAGTAGAAAGCAGCATCAGGCATCACGGTGCTCTTGGCAATGTGAATTCTCTCCTTTGTTTCATTGCCAAGGAGGCCGTGTGGCATACTCCATCAGTATGAGAAAGGGCAGAGATCATAAAATCAACAAGGTCTGTTTCAGAAAATTAACATGGCTTCTACTGGGTGCTTTTCACCATGTTTCTCCTATCTGTGCCTGAGCCTGTATCTGTCACATGGCATGATTACTGATGGAATTAATATTGATGTTATGTTGTTATGGATATTAGATGATGTTACATATACTTCTTTTAAGTAAACCAGAAATACTGGTAATAGAGACGTTAATACTTAGCTACCTAGAAAACGTTATAATCTAGACTGCTACAGTCTGTCAGGAGTCTAGGTAGATGCTATTTTCCTGGAGCAGGAAATGAGACTAACAGTTGGAATTATAGTTAGGAATCCAAAAGAGAAACTGTTTGAATACTTTTTATCTGTGAGTCAGAGAAAATGATGTGAAAAAGACAGGTGTGTTGGCTTACTTGCCTATATTGTAAGTTTTTAAAATCCCTTGGCATGTATTTGAACTGTCTGTTTACGACCAGCATGAGTTTGAAAGTGATTGAAGCATCCTCACTACTGCTCTTCTGCTCCACAGGGTTATTGAACAGCTCGGTGGGAAGCAGCTGGTAATGAACCACATGCACCATGAAGACCAGCAGGTCCGCTACAACGCTCTGCTGGCTGTGCAGAAGCTAATGGTGCACAACTGGTATGTGCTGACTTTTCCTCACGCCCGCATGTCCCGCTGAAAGGTCTCATGAACCCCTTCTGAAAGATCTCACGGCGTTGCTCTGATTGATGGATGATAGTTTTTAAAGTCAGTGATTTTTATTAAAAATCTAGAAATATATTTTAGTTGTTCAGGGCAATGCCTTGATAGTTTTAAAAAGATAAACCGTGTTGTTTCAAGAAATGTACATTCAAAGTACTAATATCAAAAACAGCTTCAGAAGTAACTAAAAGGCTCCTTGAGACATGACGTGGATTACTCCTTTTCAGAGTTGAATAGGATACAACTGAATAACTGATTACTTTGAAGACTACAGTTTTGCAAGGTTTAATTATTCAGCGTATGGTTAACCTGAATGGATCTTACCAGTTCACATAAAAGCGCTGAAAATAGATTGTTCAGTTTAGATTCAACTCACAGATTTCATTCATTATAGCCTTTGGGTTTTGAAGTAACCGAAGTCATGTTTTTCTCTGTCCTTTTATTTTTAAATTAAAATTATTGACCTTTTGGACCACTTAAAACAAGATAAAGAGTGCTACTTAGACCTAATGGGGACTTCTGTATGAATGAAGGAACTAACCAGGATTCCCTCTGGCATGACTTTCTCAGCTGTGGGTCAGGGGTTCAGTATGTTCAGTGCTCTTCTAAATAGTTCACATGCCTCTCTGTTCCCTACCCATGGGAAACATGTTTCTGTTAAGGGTACAATGAATATATTCATTACCAGCCCTTCCAAAGGAAAAATTAATGGTACATTAATTTTGGGTTTTGAATGGTGTGGGCTAACACAGTATAGAAGAATATTCTGGAGTGTTGCTGTTGCATCATATGTTAAATATCATGGTCTTGCCACTTCAGCACTTTTCTCATAGATCTGACGTTTCCGCATTCTTTCAACAACTACTTTTTGAGTACTTAACAAATCTGTCTTGGAAGAAGTACAGCCAAAATGCTCCTTAGAAGCAAAGATGGTGAGACTTCGTCTCATGTACTTTGGACAGGTTATCGGGAGGGTCCAGTCCCTAAAGAAGGGTATCATGCTTGGTTAAAGTAGAGGGTCAGCGAAAAAGAGGAAGACCCTTAATGAGATGGATTGACACAGAGGCTGCAACGGTGGGCGCAAACATAGCAACAATTGTGAGGATGGCGCAGGACTGGGCAGTGTTTTGTTCTGTTGTACATAGGGTTGCTGTGAGTCAGAACCAACAGCACCTAACAGCAACAGCGAACTTTGGACCATGTTGTTCTAAGTGCTGGGCTATGGATAGGATGGAAGGGGGTACAGCTTCCTTATAGGATGGTTATAGAGGTGTCTCTGAGTAGGCCAAACAGTGAAGTTGAGATAGTGATGATGAGAAGGAGCCAGCCATACAGCTCAGTTACTGGGGTGAGCATTTCATACTGCGGTACAGGGAATGACAGGTGAAAGGCCATAACGCAGGAGTGAGCTTGGCCTCTTTAAAGCAATGCCTGCAGACATGTTTGTCTGTCACAGCTGGGGGGTGGTGATGCTACTGGCATCTAGTGGGTAGAGGCCAGGGGTGCATCTAAACATCCTGCAATGCACAGGACAGCCCTCCACAACAAAGAGTTATCCAGCCCAAAATGTCAGCAGTGCCAGGCTCAGGAGCTCTATCTAACTTAAAGAACAGGAAGAGAGCCAGCATGGGAAAAGATGGGTTAGGAGAGGTGGGCAGAGGTCTGATCATGTAGGGTCTTGGTAGGCTACTTTTGTGAGTTGAAAGCCATTAAGATTTTTAATGGAAGAATGAAAAGCTTTATGTTTTCAAAAGATCACTTTGGCTGCTTTATGAGAATGGACATTTGAGGATTAGTGTGAAAACAAGACAGCCGTTTAGGAGGCTCTCATGGTGGTCTCAGGTAGAGGTGGATGGACTAGGACTGTAAAAGTTGAGATAACAGGAAGTAGATGGGTTTGGGATAGATTTCAGATCTAGCGCTGGCAGCCCTTGATGGAGTGAAGATGCTTTTACTTTATTATATCCTCAGTGCAAGAAGAATGGGATCAAAGCAGAAGGCATTTCAAATGGTTTTTATGTAGCAGGAAGGAGACAAAAAACAAAAAACAGTCTGTCAGTAAAACAAATACTTCATTGGATTTTCCTCGTTGTTTCATTTTACCCCAAGCTATAATTTTGAACATAAGTGAGTTATTTAGTATTTGTCGTTTCTTACTTTGTTTACGTCTACTTCATGGAATTAGTTTGAAGAATGTTGGTGTTAATAAAGTTGAAGCTGTTACAGCCAGCGAACTTATATTTGCCAAATGTTCTTCTAAGTTTTCTGTTGAACAGTCAGTTTTATTTTCCCTTTTCGTAGGAATGTTGAAGTATAATTCTTATTTTATTAATCATTCATTTCGTATTTCTTTCTTCTCTTGATGGATTTATTATTGAGTTTAGTGGTTTTATTTTTAATCTGTATTCCTGATGTGAAAGAAAAGAATACGATAATGACTTTCCCTTTGCCAACGGGGACAGGTTTTTGGTTGAAAATTTTTGTTTTTCACATGATCATGCGTTGAAGTTGAAATGTTTAAAATTGGAATTTTTTTTTTTGTTGAATTAAGAGACTTGACTTAGTCTCATAGTACATTTTTCAAACAAAAGGAAGAGCAAATGTCTTTCTAGCCAGAAACTGCTTTATTCACTCTCTTCATCATTGACTAGCTGATGAATATCCCTCCTGTCTCTCTCCCTGTCTCTCATTATGTGCCAAGCTATTTTAACTTTAAAATTTTTAATTAAAAATGCTTTAATTATGGTAAATCTCCTTTGTATTTAATGGAGAAGCTTAGCATCAGTGTATTCAATACTTTCTTTATAGAAAGAATTCTTTGCATCATCTAATATCCATAACAACATAACATCAGCATGTGACTATGGCTCTTTCTGCTAGAGAATGAAAATTGCTCAGGAAATAGCAGTTTATTTCAATATCAAATTGATATGATCCTAAGTAGAATGTAATTAGGGAAGTCAATCTTCTGCAGACTATATCTCCAAATGTAAAAGAGTTTGAGATCAGTATCTTTACAATAGCCAACCAAATTGTCTTTATTAAAACCATGGCGGTGGAAGGCTGCCTTTTTACTTACCTCAAATATAGGCTTTTCAGTGTTATAGTACTGGTGTTTAAAGTATGTTTATTGATTGACTCTTACAAAACACTCTTGCAATTATTTACTGCTACACCAAATAAAAACTTGAAAACCCAATTGACTTTGTTTTTTCTTAGCATTATGTTTGTTCTGATTTAAATTAAGTTTTTATAAATGATGCATTTTAAAATAAAATAATTAAAATATAATTATGGACAAATTAGAATAAAAGCCTGCTTGAAAGGTAATGACAGCAGCTTTTTACGATTATTTGCATGTCATGTATAGCCATCGCTTTTCCAGCCCACCCTTGTTTTCTTTTGCTTTTCTACCCTAAATTATTTTTAGTTTTTGATATTGCATTATTCCTAATGTTCCTGTTTATTAGACTGAGTCATAATTTTTGATATGGTAAACTTAACATGTATTTTTTACTTCAGGGAATTTTTTAAAGTGTGGTTTTAAAATTACATTGTAAGTATAAAGTGGATGGATACTTTTGAAATCATGGAACTGGGCTGACTGTGGATCTTGATTTGGATTCAGTTTTAAGGAGTTACATATTAAGTTTCTTGATATTGTAGGGATAGATTTCAATTTATATAACATGCAGTTTAGAGTTATATAACAGGCAAAAATACTTATTTTTGATGATTGATTTCAAAATTTCAGTTAATCGCAGCTTTTAGAATAGCCAGTGTTTCTCCCTCGCACTTGAGCATCTGTATTTACATGGAATAATCTAGATTACAGATAACCTAACTGAGTTGGGTCAGGGATGCTGGAGTGGGAGTAGAGCTGCTCTGGAGGGCAGAGTGGCTGCCACTTGGGGAACTACCCTGCTCATAGCCCCTCTCTTAGGGCCCCACAGCTCTCTGCCCTCACACCCTGTGGCATTCTGTGCATCCCTGCTTTTCTGAGCAGTGCTGGATTTTTATATTTATAAATTGGCAAAATATATAAGTAATGACAGCTTACTCTAGAGAAATTTTGTAGATATCCCCAATTTTTACTTTGTAACTTAACATCATAAAATGTCATCATTTTTCTCCTACAGAGTGATTTTAAATATAATCAACCTCTAATTCAGAAGCAACATATGTGCATTTGGACAGCTCAGGACTTCAGGAAAGAAACACTGAATTTTGTATGTAGAGGATCTCATGGAGAATTTTCTGTTTGTGTTTCTAGCTTATTTTTCAACCTTTTTTTTTTCTTCTTCTTCCAAGAGGAATAATAAGTTCTAAGAGTGTTACCTACCTCTCTGGATCTTTAATGTGTAGATAAATTCCAAAAATGGAGGAAGACTCACTAGGTCTGGGTGAATGCTGCTGTGTTCTCTGATATTTACATTGGCTTAGGACTATTTTGATTATTCTGTAAGTGATTAAAGCGGCTACTTGTGAACTGAATTGCAAGGAAAAAAACCTTATATGTTTTAACCTTTTAGCATTAATAATCATTAACTTATTAACATTCCGTAAGAATTTTAACAAACACATAATATGTATAGATTTAACAATTTCCAGGATTAATTTAGAAAATTGTGGTCTCTCTCTGGTGCCTTACATTTTCCACAGTGTTCTTATGACATTTTTAATCGATGAACCTTTGAAAATGTCTTTAGTGTCTTTTGTATTTTTCAAAAACAAATATAACTAGATTTAAAAAAATATCTAAACCAAATCCAAGGAAAGAGGAGTTCTTTATTGCTTTTGGCCCACCACCAGTTGAGCAACTCTCAGTTTTCCAGTCTAAAGATGCTTCTACTTTGCTAATTAGGGATATTTTGAGGCAATACTGACTTATTTTTCTGGGCAGTATGTAACACATAATTAAAATCGATTTTGAAGAT